AGCGCCTGAACCCGACGTGAGCGGCCAGTGGAAGATGATGGCCTCCACGCCTGCCGGACTGTGAAGTTTGAGCTCCAGCGACTTGTCAGACTCCGGCATTATTGCCACTCACTGTTATCTCGACAACACTACCACTAATTTCCACTCCACTTAGGAAAAGCCAGCCCCATAGTGGAGCGGATCACACGCGCGTGCCGTCACTATCCATGCCTGAGTGTAACTGGCGGGAGGCGGGCAACGTGACCCGCAGCTTCCCCCGCCCGCCGCCAGGGGACACCACCGCACTACTCACCATCAACGTTCACCATCAACGTTTACTCTCATCACCTTCACTAACTCATCTCTATAAACATTCCCTAACAAGTAAACAAATTACCACGTCACTATACTCACAAATAATGACTGAGCGCCAATGTATTTGTTTCATGTTTGAGGGATTTTTCTGTGTAACTTCCTGTTCAGCGAAGCACGTGGTAATGTGATGTTTGAAATGGTGTTAGTTTGAAAACTGAGTTTTACAAGTGTGGAAGATGGTGAGTATGGTGTTTACTGAGCGTCTGGAGATAGTTCCACCATGGGACACCAATGGCCACTTGCACACATTCATTACTGAACCATTCAACTATCTAAACATTTACATTAATATCGTGTTTTGATTTAACTTTCCAAGGACAAAAACATATTTTTATCACACCATATCACTACAAAACAATATTGGTAAGTATACCATAGTTTTATGAGTACCAGCGATAACCAGCTTTATTCATTTATAACTCCACCTACACACCGCCCAGGAGAAATAGCCTAAGCTACTCTATCCCTTTGAGATGTATTTCTTTCTTGTCTCAATAAACATACTTGAACTTCAACTTGGTGAAGATGGACTAAGATGCCACATAAAAACTTTACTAGCTGCTAGTAATAGTGGTGAAGTGCTTCAGATGTTTAATATATTTTGAAATATATCAAACAAATGATGCATGTAATACCAGCATTTAACACAATATATACCTATTTATTTACAAGAAGCTACATAGGGTTCAGAAGGTACATTGGAATTTGGGTGTTGCATTCTTGACATGTACAGCGTTTAGGGCAGAAACACTGTGAAACATATATATATATATATATATATATATATATATATATATATATATATATATATATATATATATATATATATATAACTGAAAACTCACACCCCAGAAGTGACTCGAACCCATACTCCCAGAAGCAACGCATCTGGTATGTACAAGACGCCTTAATCCACTTGACCATCACGACCGGACATAATGAGGTGATAGCCGAGGCTATTTGAACCACCCCACCGCCGGCACTCGGATAGTTATCTTGGGCATAGCATTTTACCAAATCACCTCATTCTTTGGGGCAACACGTGAGGAACACAAATGCGAACAAGCCTGAATGGTCCCCAGGACATATGCAACTGAAAACTCACACCCCAGAAGTGACTCGAACCCATACTCCCAGAAGCAACGCATCTGGTATGTACAAGACGCCTTAATCCACTTGACCATCACGACCGGACATAATGAGGTGATAGCCGAGGCTATTTGAACCACCCCACCGCCGGCACTCGGATAGTTATCTTGGGCATAGCATTTTACCAAATCACCTCATTCTTTGGGGCAACACGTGAGGAACACAAATGCGAACAAGCCTGAATGGTCCCCAGGACATATGCAACTGAAAACTCACACCCCAGAAGTGACTCGAACCCATACTCCCAGAAGCAACGCATCTGGTATGTACAAGACGCCTTAATCCACTTGACCATCACGACCGGACATAATGAGGTGATAGCCGAGGCTATTTGAACCACCCCACCGCCGGCACTCGGATAGTTATCTTGGGCATAGCATTTTACCAAATCACCTCATTCTTTGGGGCAACACGTGAGGAACACAAATGCGAACAAGCCTGAATGGTCCCCAGGACATATGCAACTGAAAACTCACACCCCAGAAGTGACTTGAACCCATACTCCCAGAAGCAACGCATCTGGTATGTACAAGACGCCTTAATCCACTTGACCATCACGACCGGACAAAATGAGGTGATAGCCGAGGCTATTTGAACCACCCCACCGCCGGCACTCGGATAGTTATCTTGGGCATAGCATTTTACCAAATCACCTCATTCTTTGGGGCAACACGTGAGGAACACAAATGCGAACAAGCCTGAATGGTCCCCAGGACATATGCAACTGAAAACTCACACCCCAGAAGTGACTCGAACCCATACTCCCAGAAGCAACGCATCTGGTATGTACAAGACGCCTTAATCCACTTGACCATCACGACCGGACATAATGAGGTGATAGCCGAGGCTATTTGAACCACCCCACCGCCGGCACTCGGATAGTTATCTTGGGCATAGCATTTTACCAAATCACCTCATTCTTTGGGGCAACACGTGAGGAACACAAATGCGAACAAGCCTGAATGGTCCCCAGGACATATGCAACTGAAAACTCACACCCCAGAAGTGACTCGAACCCATACTCCCAGAAGCAACGCATCTGGTATGTACAAGACGCCTTAATCCACTTGACCATCACGACCGGACATAATGAGGTGATAGCCGAGGCTATTTGAACCACCCCACCGCCGGCACTCGGATAGTTATCTTGGGCATAGCATTTTACCAAAACACCTCATTCTTTGGGGCAACACGTGAGGAACACAAATGCGAACAAGCCTGAATGGTCCCCAGGACATATGCAACTGAAAACTCACACCCCAGAAGTGACTCGAACCCATACTCCCAGAAGCAACGCATCTGGTATGTACAAGACGCCTTAATCCACTTGACCATCACGACCGGACATAATGAGGTGATAGCCGAGGCTATTTGAACCACCCCACCGCCGGCACTCGGATAGTTATCTTGGGCATAGCATTTTACCAAATCACCTCATTCTTTGGGGCAACACGTGAGGAACACAAATGCGAACAAGCCTGAATGGTCCCCAGGACATATGCAACTGAAAACTCACACCCCAGAAGTGACTCGAACCCATACTCCCAGAAGCAACGCATCTGGTATGTACAAGACGCCTTAATCCACTTGACCATCACGACCGGACATAATGAGGTGATAGCCGAGGCTATTTGAACCACCCCACCGCCGGCACTCGGATAGTTATCTTGGGCATAGCATTTTACCAAATCACCTCATTCTTTGGGGCAACACGTGAGGAACACAAATGCGAACAAGCCTGAATGGTCCCCAGGACATATGCAACTGAAAACTCACACCCCAGAAGTGACTCGAACCCATACTCCCAGAAGCAACGCATCTGGTATGTACAAGACGCCTTAATCCACTTGACCATCACGACCGGACATAATGAGGTGATAGCCGAGGCTATTTGAACCACCCCACCGCCGGCACTCGGATAGTTATCTTGGGCATAGCATTTTACCAAATCACCTCATTCTTTGGGGCAACACGTGAGGAACACAAATGCGAACAAGCCTGAATGGTCCCCAGGACATATGCAACTGAAAACTCACACCCCAGAAGTGACTCGAACCCATACTCCCAGAAGCAACGCATCTGGTATGTACAAGACGCCTTAATCCACTTGACCATCACGACCGGACATAATGAGGTGATAGCCGAGGCTATTTGAACCACCCCACCGCCGGCACTCGGATAGTTATCTTGGGCATAGCATTTTACCAAATCACCTCATTCTTTGGGGCAACACGTGAGGAACACAAATGCGAACAAGCCTGAATGGTCCCCAGGACATATGCAACTGAAAACTCACACCCCAGAAGTGACTCGAACCCATACTCCCAGAAGCAACGCATCTGGTATGTACAAGACGCCTTAATCCACTTGACCATCACGACCGGACATAATGAGGTGATAGCCGAGGCTATTTGAACCACCCCACCGCCGGCACTCGGATAGTTATCTTGGGCATAGCATTTTACCAAATCACCTCATTCTTTGGGGCAACACGTGAGGAACACAAATGCGAACAAGCCTGAATGGTCCCCAGGACATATGCAACTGAAAACTCACACCCCAGAAGTGACTCGAACCCATACTCCCAGAAGCAACGCATCTGGTATGTACAAGACGCCTTAATCCACTTGACCATCACGACCGGACATAATGAGGAAAGCCGCCGGCACTATCCGAGTGCCGGCGGTGGGGTGGTTCAAATAGCCTCGGCTATCACCTCATTATGTCCGGTCGTGATGGTCAAGTGGATTAAGGCGTCTTGTACATACCAGATGCGTTGCTTCTGGGAGTATGGGTTCGAGTCACTTCTGGGGTGTGAGTTTTCAGTTGCATATGTCCTGGGGACCATTCAGGCTTGTTCGCATTTGTGTTCCTCACGTGTTGCCCCAAAGAATGAGGTGATTTGGTAAAATGCTATGCCCAAGATAACTATCCGAGTGCCGGCGGTGGGGTGGTTCAAATAGCCTCGGCTATCACCTCATTATGTCCGGTCGTGATGGTCAAGTGGATTAAGGCGTCTTGTACATACCAGATGCGTTGCTTCTGGGAGTATGGGTTCGAGTCACTTCTGGGGTGTGAGTTTTCAGTTGCATATGTCCTGGGGACCATTCAGGCTTGTTCGCATTTGTGTTCCTCACGTGTTGCCCCAAAGAATGAGGTGATTTGGTAAAATGCTATGCCCAAGATAACTATCCGAGTGCCGGCGGTGGGGTGGTTCAAATAGCCTCGGCTATCACCTCATTATGTCCGGTCGTGATGGTCAAGTGGATTAAGGCGTCTTGTACATACCAGATGCGTTGCTTCTGGGAGTATGGGTTCGAGTCACTTCTGGGGTGTGAGTTTTCAGTTGCATATGTCCTGGGGACCATTCAGGCTTGTTCGCATTTGTGTTCCTCACGTGTTGCCCCAAAGAATGAGGTGATTTGGTAAAATGCTATGCCCAAGATAACTATCCGAGTGCCGGCGGTGGGGTGGTTCAAATAGCCTCGGCTATCACCTCATTATGTCCGGTCGTGATGGTCAAGTGGATTAAGGCGTCTTGTACATACCAGATGCGTTGCTTCTGGGAGTATGGGTTCGAGTCACTTCTGGGGTGTGAGTTTTCAGTTGCATATGTCCTGGGGACCATTCAGGCTTGTTCGCATTTGTGTTCCTCACGTGTTGCCCCAAAGAATGAGGTGATTTGGTAAAATGCTATGCCCAAGATAACTATCCGAGTGCCGGCGGTGGGGTGGTTCAAATAGCCTCGGCTATCACCTC